GGCTCTTCCCGTGTCGACCAACACGATGTGTATAATCGCTCGAAGTTGTTTGGTGAGTCGTAGTTAATAACGTTGTCAACGGATTCTATGTCGATTCCTCTTGACAATACACTTGTTGCCACTAACACAGTCACGTTCCCTTTTTTGAAGGTTTCAAGTGCCTTTGTTCTCTCGTCTTGTCTCATCCCTCCGTGTATCCCACATGCCTTAACCTTTTTTTCCTCCAAGTAAGCAACAACCTCATCAACCGAAGTCTTTTTGTTTGCAAAGACAATGACTTTTCCAACGATAGTCTCGACCAATTTAAGTAATGATACCCCTTTCTTTTCTTCTTCGACCCACATAACCCGTTGCCTTACTTTATCTGCAACACCCTTTCGCCCTACAGATATTTTAATTCCTCTTCTGATGTACTCTCCAGTCAGTTTCTCAAGGTTTGCTGGCATAGTTGCAGAAAACATGAGTGTCGTTCGCTTCTCCGGTTTCCCATTTAAACTGTTTAATTCATCCCTTTTCATCTCTTCGTCACTCCCACTCTTGAGCGGAGGCATCTCGTTAAAAATCTCTCGGACTTGCACATCAAGACCCATGTCAATCATCTTATCTGCCTCGTCTAATACGCAGTAATAACACTGTCCTAATACTAGGTACATTTGTCTGAGTAAGTCCCTTATTCTTCCGGGCGCACCAACTAACACCTCGACGCCCTCTTCTATCGCTTTGATTTGCTCGTCAATCTCCTCCCCACCAATACAACACAACACCCGTATTTTTAACCCCTCACTGAACTTCTTTATTTCGTCGTCAATTTGTTTTGCTAATTCACGCGTTGGTGCTAAAACCAATCCGTAAGGCCCCCTACACGCAGTTTCGCGTGTGAGTCTTGGCAGCTTCGATATGAAAGACACAAGAGGAATGACATAGGCCGCCGTTTTACCCGTTCCAGTCTCTGCCAAACCAATGATGTCTCTCATGTTTAACGCAATTGGTATCGTCGCGGCTTGCACGGGAGTTGGTTCGCTGTAATTCAACTTCGAGAGTGTGGCTTGTATTTCCGGGAGGAAAGTGACATCGCTCCACTTTCGGAGAGGCCGCACGACCTCGCCTCCACTCACTGAAAGAGAGATATTTTCTCTGACAATACGCCAGTCATTTTCTGTCATTTCCTCGAGGCTTTTTGTAATGATGTTCATTTCATTGTCAGTGTGGGTTGAGCTTCGGGAACTCTTTTTCGACTTTGGCATGTGACCCACAAAATCACCTCCAAATGTACCTCTTCCGAACAAGGGCGTGTATGATATTGGTGTGTTGTACATTTCATTTGGATCGTTTGTGGTGTCGTCCTCCGGTTTTACTGTCAGCAACTCCCGAAGACTTGGAATTTTGAATTTTTCACTTGGTTTTTGAAGCTTCTTCAATGGTTTTATTCCGCCTCGATATTGTTGGATAATCTCCGCTTGTTCTTCTTTAGTTAAAGTATTATTAAAATCCTTAGAAGTCATCGGGACTTTCGAAGGTAAAGATTCAAAAGACTTTTCTCGCTTTGGTGGTGGGGAAGGTTTCTCTCTTTCCGTCTTAGGTATATAAGTCAACTCTTCATCACTCATTGAGATTATGGATTATTAATTCATTGAGTTTTTTAAAACTATATTATAATTATATTTTATTATTTTTTTTATTAATATTATTAAATTAATAAATAACAAATTTTAATATAAAACTATAAAATAAATATAATATTATAAACTCTACAATAATATTATTAATAAATAAATTATTATATATATATATAATAACAAATATTAAAAATTATATTAAAAATTATATTAAAAACAAATTCAATACATTTTAAGTCTTGTGGACTACATTAACTTCATCCCATTGATAGAACACTTATAAGGCTCGAAGAACTAATATTCTATCACAGATAACTTTCTCTCCGGTAGTTCTTCCCGTTAATGGATTAGACAGATTGGCTGGTACATTATAATAATTCTTCAGACAGACGTTAAAATTGACATCGCCATTGTGTTCGATCCAAAAGGCCGAGAAGCACGAGATAAACATCTTTTTGTTGTTTGCATAGATCGAAACGGACTTTTCTGCACCGAGACTTTTGCGGTCATAAAAGCGCGCCTCGTCCCACTGATTTTTCATCCCAAACAAGAAGAATCTTTTTGACGACGAATTGATTTGTTCGACGTTTGCCTTTGTTTCTATAGCGTCTTCGTGGTAGAACCCAAAGACGTCATTTTGTTGAGAGATGAATATGAAGACGAGTTTTTGATATCCTGCGACTCTACTAATGAATTCTCTGGCGTCCTCCGTTGCCAGTTGACTGTTAAACAGCGTCTCAAATCTCTCATTGTTTGTTTTGAAAAGCAATTGTTTCAGAAACTGCTCTTGTCTGTTAAAAAAGAACTCGTCGACATCCTCGGCGGGGTTTTTATACTTTGGAGTGACGGGTTTCATTTTTGAGAATGGGGTGATGCCCTTTGTTTTTGACTTTTTAATGCTTTGATGGAGTGACTCTAAGATGGTGACATCAGAAGAAGACCTGAGCAACTTCGGGAAAGAGTGTGGCGTTTTGCTCTTGCGAGTGACTGTGATCTCATACTTCTCTGGTTCAATAGTGTAAAGTTCATCAGATGGTTGAAGTGTAGTGCAGTCGATGCTTTGGAAAGTGGATTTTGGTGTTGTACGAACAGATGTTGAAGTGGATGATCCCATGTATGATTAAACAGTGAAAAGAAGCTATTTATTGATGAGTTTGACAAACCAAAGAGAATTTGTTTGATCTCTTGTGGTGTTTTGATCAACAAATTGTCATGCAATTCTATTATTATGTAATAGCTTGTATATCATTGTTTCTAGAATTTGTCCAGCACTGGTTGACGGATTCGTTGCTTTTTTCTCATTTTTTCAACTTAAAGTTTCTGTTTCATTCCGTAAACAACAATCTTTGCATTTTTGTTGTTTATGATCGAAATATAGTAAAATTTACTATATAATATACCATTTGAAACAGAATTATTTGGTTTGTTTAAAAGTCACAAAATAGATTCTCTTAACTACCATTTTATTTTTTAAAATGTGTTTTATTTACGTCTTTTTTATCATTTTTAATGGGTCAATTGTATAAACGATAATTAAAACGACAACATGTTGTTTAATTCTTGTTATTAAAACAATTACCAAATATATAACGTTTTCGTATTTTGGCAATTTAAAGCCAATAATTCCAAAATAACTAAACAATAGTATTTGAAACTATAATAATATCATTAGTTACAATATTTATTAACAATAGAATAAAAATGGTAATGATAAAAAAATATTTCGGCAAATATTAAAAAGATATAAACAAAAAATGAATGCCACAGAATAATTGCGAGTTTTATTAACACGACTAAATGAATTTGACTTTTTAATTATTTATTAGATTAAAAAAAATAATTTACACAGGTTACCATAACCAAATAACGGGATATAAAAATAACACTCCATTTTTTAAAATAAAATATTTGAATGAAAAAATTCGTGTTTTAGAAATTAAAACAATAAAGAAAATAGCGATTGAAGCAATTTAAATGGCCAAACAACCATTTCTTATTGCTATTCAACGTTTATTTAAAGGTGATAATTTTTGTAGTTTTAGTCATTTAATAAATTAATAATGTATAGTTGTTTTTATAAACAAAAAAGCTATAATTTATTACTATTATAGTTAAAACCAATTATTATTATAACAAATAATATTAATCTATAAATACTTAAATATTAATAAATATTAATAAATAAATGGAGAAATGCATTCGAACAGTCCAAAAAGCGAAATTTGAAGTGAATCGCTTTAAATTTGTTGGTGGAGTTTTTTGTTATAAAAAACAACTAAAGTCTGTCTAAAAACGTTGTCCGCTTGTAAAACGTTGTCCATTTGACAAAATTTTACACAAAATAAGTTGAAAAATTTGGGAATTAGGTAAAAACGATCAAATCCCGGTAAAAATTATGAAACAATGTTTTGGGAATGTTTCGAATTGTTTCCCGAAATATTCCAGTTTTGATGGTCCAAAAACACCTGGACAACGTTGGAGAGCGGACAACGTTTCCAGACCGACTATATAGGAGTTGTTTAATAGTAGTTAATAATACTTTAGAACTATAGTGATTTATGAAGGAAACAAATAACATACAAATCAATGCAAAGCGAAATCGCCTTGGAAATGGAGTTTGTTATTTGGTACACACGTTTCCATCATCTTTGATAAAGTTATAACTTTAAACCCCTTCATTTCCAAGTAGATGAGCATTTCTTCAACATAGTCCAAATTATCTTTTAAGTCATGGCATATGATGATATCCCCACTTTTGATTCTTCCTGTGAGTGCAAAGAGGTTGTACTGTGTTTTTCTGATTTGGAAATCGAAGGAGTGAGTATTCCCCATGACAAGGGTATACCCCAATTTACCGACGATGTCATACATTTGATTTGTGGGAAAGAAGGACCCGGGTCTAAACCATTTGTATTTGTTGTTCCTCCAAAGCTTTAACCGCTCGATATAACCATGAGTCTTAAAGAATTGTTTGTTGAATAGATTTCGTGTTAATTGAAAGGAAGCGTCTTGGTTATACATGTGATTGCCAACTTCATTTCCATTCTTTAAAAGTTTCTCAAGTGTGGGACTTAAGACCGTGTCATTGATGTAATTCTCAAGTTTGTTGCCAAGCATGAAAAACGTGGCGGAGGCGTCATGGCGGTACAAAGTGTCTAACATGTTGTTTGTGGAACTACTTGGTGCGTCGTCGAAAGTGAGACCGACAGCGTTGTATTGACAGTCATGAAAGTTGACGAGTGCATCTGGTTGAAGATAATATAACAGAGACATCAGCCAAGATAATTGAAAAAAAGCAGAAAGACCAATGACTGCTACAATAAAGAGGAAGATCAAAATTGCGACTAACACACTCGATAAAACAACACGAAGAAACATGTTAATTTTGTAGTTTATTCGATGAATTACTTTTGTACCCATTCGCCTTGTTTGCAACTCTCTATTTTTATTTAACATTCGAATCATTTATTATAGTATAGAAAACATTGTTACAATTTTTGGATTTGTTTTCAATCTTTTTAACGACAATTTGTGAGAAAAAAAACAGGGGCTCATTGTATCGAGTTTATTTTTACTTAAAAAACCACCACCCTTCAATCCATTTTTTTTTGTCAATGAAATCAAAGATTTTTGCTTTTTCGATATAAAATCTATAATCATTAATTTTATTATAACACATCACAAATTGTGTTTAATTAGATGGTTTAATTAATTTTATTATTGTGGAAATTATAATAAGTTTGAAACTAAAAATAATTTTATTATTTTTTTTGTAATTTTATAGATCGTTTACATTCTTCTCAATAGTATACACGTATTATTTTTTTTAATTGATTCTTTAATTTTCGGTTCAATAATATCAATTTTGTATTATTATATTAATAATAATTATTTTATTCACAACAATATTTTTAAATATATTTAACTTTATTTTTAATGATCTAATTTGTGGTGATTTTGTTAATTAATTTATAATTTCATTAAATATCATTGTTTTTTTACAAGAATTTAATTATATTCTAAAAAACTATAAACTAAGAGTTTTCAAAAATTATAAATGAAATAAAAAACATTTTTTTAATAATGTTATACTTTTTAATAAAAAGTTTTTATTATAAATTTAATATTAAATATAATAAAAATATTTATAATATAGTAATGTATAATAAAATCAATTAATAATAAATAGTAATAAATTATCACACAATTCTTTTAGTCGGCGATGATGGTACACTCGAGTTTATTAGAACCTTTTGAGAATGAATTTTGGCTGAATACCTGTTGAGGGATTTCCAATTGAGTGAATTCTTCATTGAAGAATTTATGTTTTTGATCCTCATCCTCTTCGCGATGTTTTTCGACCTTTTCAAATTTCTCTATTTTGCTACTTTTTCGAGTTTTTGGTGCTTTGACGTCTTTCTCTGCTTTTTGCGCTTTAACTTTCTCCTTCTCGAGTTTCTCTTTCATTTTCAAATTTTTAATATTTTGTCTGACGACCTTTGACATATCGAGTTGAGTCTCTCCGATGGTACTCAAATTGTTTCTGACGAAGTCCAGTTGAGAGAAACACCAATTCAGATGAGTTTCATTCTCTTCGTGAGTTATTTCAAAAAGAGCCGTAGTGACCTTTTCAAGAAGTCCAAATAAGTTAAATACTTCATCTGAGCAGAATTCAAGGGCTTGTGTGATGAAGACGTTCTCTGCTTTTTGGTTAAAGCAAGTTATTAAGAACGTGTTGAACTCTTTGAATAAGTTAAAGATGTCTTCGTCGAGTAGATTTAACATTTCTCTGTTATTCAAATGGTCTGGGAATGTCGTCCCAGTGACAAATTGAAACCTTCCATCAAAGCAATTGTACTTCTTATGAAACTGTAAGTCCTTATCCACCACATTAGAGTACATTTCTCCCCATGTCATCAATTTAGAATAGTCTGGTTGGAATGGTTCGATACCTTTAGAGTAGACCAATAAAGGGATTTGGCCGTATATTGATGTGACGCCATTTTTCGACAAATGATGATATAAAAGAAGTGCTTTAAAGGAACTAATAGTGTGCTTGTTCTTCACTTGAGAGTGTATTTTCTTCGTGATAGTAAGCGATCCTCCTTTCAGCGCTCGTTTTAAAAAGTAGTCCAACTGTTTCTCGTTGGGAGGAAAGAGGGATTCAAAGTACTCGACTAGTGAGAGTTGGAGCTTGATATAATTCATTCAAACTGGTTTTTTTCGATTGGACAACACTCTTTTCTACATGAACAATCTCGTTTTGCTTCATCTCTTCTTAGAAGTGCTTTTTTAACAAAAGTCTCCAACACATTGGAAGTATTCCGTCACTCTTGTGACTTCCTAAAAACGGGAAATTAGCTTTTCATTGGAGGATTTTATTTGGCATTTTTTACTCATTATTACATTGTAATTTCCTCACCGTTCATTCCAGTGTGGTTTTCTAGAAAAAAATGAGAGAGATGATGATTTTGCCGTTTTTTATTTTTTTTATAAATTGTTTATAATTCATTTGTTCTTGATAATTTTGATTGTTTTTTATGGGGTATTTTCCCCATAAATAAATGGATTGTGTAGTGTTTTTTTATATCTTATGATCGTATCAGTTTTTCAATAAAAAGATATGACAATAAAATTATACTATTTTTCAGGAAAAAAACAACCATTAAATAACAATTATATTTTTTCTTTTTTGTTAATTCTTGTATAGTATAAATATAATAATAAAATTATGCAAAATTCTATTTTTTTCTTTACATGGTTTGAATTTACCCCAATTGTATTTGTGTTATTAAAAACATTTTGAAACCAGAATAAAATATTATAGTTCTAATTTAATTATACAAATAGTAAAAATGAACCAAAACCAAACAAATAGTAAATTGAATAATAAAAGAACTAAAAACATGCATGCGCAGACTTGAGCTTACACATCCTTGTCGCACGTCCATGCAGTCACCCGTATGAATGCTCCGCTATTAAGCTTAAAAGCTTTATTTGACTCCGAGAAAGTCTGATAGAACTTTTCTATAATTTTGAATGAGTTGTTTGTCAAATAAAATGCGTCTTTGACTTCAAAGAGATTGTCGTCGTTACCAAACATAGCGCCGGTCTTCACACCGTCGACTTGTTTGTAGACGTAAGTCTCGTTACAAGTCTCTTCAAAGACAAACGCTTTTTGATCTTCGCACAGGACCTTTCTGTCTGCGGGAAGGCTTTTGTGGTAACTTCCGAAAACAAAGAAGAGAGTTTCTACAAAGAGGACAACATCAGATTTTCCTCCAAGTGCTTTAAAGAAGTCTTTGTTGATGTTGTTGGTCTTTTGCGAGTCGAAAATTTTTGTCTTCAGTCGTTTTGAAATTGCTTTAGAAATTGTTTTTGCCATTGGAGTGGATGCCTCGACAGTGGGCACTAAAGCCTCTATAGTTGGCGATCCTGTTAAACAAGGACTGTCGATCATATCCATACTCTTGTATTTGTCATGATCACACAAACAACGTCTTTCTTTTCTTTGAGGTTTTCGAGGTGATTTGATTGGTGTCACTGTAACATCGGGAAGTGCATCTAAAATAGTTTCCTTAATTAAATTCACTTGTTGTGCCTTTTGTTGCACAAGTTGGATTTCTTTGTGATGGACTTCTGAATCGTTTTGGAGTGGGGGTAGGTTGGTGTAAATGTACTCTTGAATATTTCTAAAGTCTTTGCGGAGCGACTGGAGTTCGGTAAATATCTGTGATAATGTAACTTCAGACGTCATCTTATTTTGTGTGATTTTCAGAGCGCTTTTATTGGTGTGGTGAAGATCTTTACCAATTTGCTATTTTTTTGATAAAATAATATCTTAGATAATTTTATACACAAGAAAGAATTTAATCATGTAAGATGTAATAAAAGGAAAATCAAGAGAGCAAGTCAAAAGTTGGGGGTGAAAAATATGAAAAGGATTGTTCTAACTATAAATTTAGTATAATTATACAATTAATTTCAGTTAAAAACAGAGTTGATGAAAATAGAAAAACAATCATCAAATTTGTTAAACAAGCACCACGTGTCTTTATTTTACATGAGTTTTTTTTTTATTGGTGCAATATAGTTCGTTTTTTATTTTAATTTTTAGCTTCTTAAAAATATTTTTTATGGTTTTACAGAAAAATTAAAACAGTTTTACCAAAAAATGTTTTTTCATTATAAAATGTTTTATTTTATACTATACATTTTGATTAATTATTTTATATCAGTCATATTATATCTATATATCATTATTAACTATATAATATAGTTAATATTGATTAATAAAACAATAATTACTTATAATTAACAAAAATAAATCTTGAAATTAAAAATATTAGATTCAATTTATATTTAATAAATAAATAATATTTTTCTATTTATTTAACATTAATTTTTTTTAACAAAACTATACTATGTGTGTTATAAAACAAATATTAATAATATAATAATTATACTAATAAATCAATTTAAGGAACAAATCACTTAATTTTCCTTCAAACTATTTTGTATTATAAATAACTATACATCTAATGTACAAGTGTTAAATAGTTATAACTACTCAACTGTAAAAGAACACATGGAACCGGTTTGGGGGATATTATTTGGACTTGAAGAAGGTACCCCAACGATTTCTCTACGGCGCCAAGAAGAGGTGATCGGACGGTCGATAATAAGTGAGTCTGAAGTATTAATATCAAGCCGTCACTTCAAAATAATCAAGCGAGACATTAGTGGTGAAAACACATATGTTCTGATAGACACTTCTTCCAATGGAACGTTTCTGAATGATATGGACAAGCGACTTCCCAAAAATGAGGAGATCATTATCACGAGTTTTGACGTCATTTTTCTCTTACGACTTGCAAATCTAAAAACAGGGGAACAGCATCTTCGTTCATTTGTATTTGTCGATCGACAGACGTACATGGAGACTAAAGAGATCTTCAAAGAGTACATTATTGGTCGTCTCCTTGGTATTGGGTGTTTTGGGAAGGTGTTTGTGGCGACCACCAAACAGGACAAAACGTCATTTGCGCTCAAGGTGATGAAAAAGACGTCGGACAAATTGAAGGAAAAGTCCAAACAAGAGTACGACCTGATGCGCACGGTGTCGCACCCTAATATCGTCGAAGTGAAATCCCTTCACATGTACACCGACTTCATTTTCTTAGTCATGGAATTGATCACCGATGGGTGTCTCTTTGATTATGTCTATCGCCACGTCTTGGAAGTGGACGAAATTCGGACGATCATCACAGACGTCTTGAAAGCTCTTCTGTTTCTTCACGACAACAAAATAGTCCACCGCGATGTCAAAATGGAGAATGTGTTATTAGTGTTCTCCGACAACCCCATTGACCCTTCCAAAAAGAAGATCACGTCGAAATTAACTGACTTTGGTCTGGGAAGATTTGTGGGGGACGACTTTAAGGCAAGCACATTATGTGGGACACATAATTATATACCACCAGAGATATACAAAGGCGCAGTGGTCAAGCAAAAGATGACAAAGCAAATCGAACAACTCAATTTGGAGGAATGTAAGAAGAAGAAAGTGACTGACGCGATGGACAAGAAAATCCGGTACGATGCGGGAGAGGCTGATGTGTGGTCTTGTGGTGTGATGCTCTACGAGATGACGCTTCGGAAGAATCCGTTTGAGTCGATGGTCTCGAAAGACGAAAAGAGCGAATCGTCGGAGAGTAAATCGAAGCACGACAATCGAGCCGTGTCTTTCATCTTAAAGGGCGAGTTTTGTAAAGACGACCAATACACGAAAGTCGACGAGGAGTTACGAGACTTGATTGAACATATGTTAGTAGTCAATCCGGAGGAACGATTCACTGTTGCACAATGTTTGGAACACTCATTTATTCAAGGCCGGAAGCACCCAATGGACTCAACCAAATTGTAATTTTTATTCTTTTCAGTACACGAAGTGTTTCAACCACAAAAGATTAATGGGAGAGTCACTAAAACACCACTAAAACACAGTCACTGGTGTGTTGGTGTCGATGGAATAGAAGAACTGTTGTTTGTTTGTGCTGCGAAATTTCTGTTCATCTCATCCGCCATACGAACCTTTTCAACGAAGGACAAGGAAGCCATTGATGTTCCTCTATCTTTCCATCGACCTATTTGTAAGCGAATATTTATATATATTTATATAAGAAATGAACAAACGCGTCTTCGACCCGACTGTATTGAAAGTGTTGTATTTTGCTTGAATAAGATGCTTTGCTACTTCTGCTTTTTCTTTTAATGCACTCTTTGCTTGTTCTTCAAGTTTCTGCTTTTTGGCCTTTGCCGTCTCGATTTCTGTAGATATGGTCTCCGCCCATTTTGTCTTTTCTTCTGTTGAAATCATCGCGAAGATGTAATTGTTTTTGTTGTAGGTCAAACCAAGACACACGTCGACTTCAAATCCTTTCTTTTCAACGTCAGACTCCTTCACGTCATACATTTTCAAGTCACTCAGTTTGATGTCAATTTCATAACTCAGTTTGTCGCTCATTGTTTTTGTGAACACACCTTTCTCAACTACTTCACAGATCAGAAGAACATCATTGAATACAAGTAGTTCGACCATCTTCGATGACTTCTTTCGTATCTCAAACGCTTTTGCAACACCAACGATTTCTCGACTCCCGACACTCAACGTGAAGGTGTCGGGGACACCAACAAGTCGCTTCTGAAGTTCTTTCATCTTGTCAAGCATCTCTTTCTGTTTCTTCCCGTCGTTGACTTGGGAAGTGACCACTGAAATCACAGAGAGTGCTTTTTTAACGTCGTCGTGATCAGGGTGACATGCCGGAGTGCACTTAACCAAGTCTATCAAAAACAGTTTATACCTTGGTAGTCGTTGGATTGGAGTAATCAAAAAGGACGTCAACGACAACTTTCGGTACGCTTCTTTGATGTCTTTATTGTTCAATTGCTCTTGACACCACACGATAAAAGGCGCTTTTGATTTCTCCATGGGGATAATCGTGTCGTTGATGTAATTATAACTCATTGTGTACTCACTATATATCTTGAATACAGGACCCAACATACAAAACAAGTTTCCTATGAGGACGTTGGCGTAGTCATCGCATCGGATGTTCAACAACAGCTTCAAAAAGTTCTCATTCACAGAGAAGAGTGTTGTGAAATCACCAAAGATGTTTTTGATCTTGCCGCTTGGTATTAAGTCGGTCTTTTGTGAGGGTTTCAAGACGTATTCTATCAGCGTTCGCATCTGACTCACATACGTCTCCTCGGTGGTGATGATCTCACGTACAACTTTAGCACGCCGCTCCAACTGTCCTTTTATTCTTTTCTGTGCCATTTTCCTCGCCGCACGAGTTAAGACGGTAGCTGAGAAGTCCTTCAACATTTGTTCTTTGACTTTGTTCTGGAGACTTGGTTCCAATCGTGTTGATGCTTTATTCGAATTGATAAAATTGAGTGCGGACGTCTCTGTGGATATCATGAAAGACTGTGGCTTGGGCACTTTGTTATAAATTAAGTATGTCGCAAACATCTTTGAAGACCAATACCGGCAGTCCATTAAGTACTTGTAGTCAATAGTCTTTTTCGTATACACGTTTGCAGACATCATTTGCTTCGGCTGAGAGTTCCGAGGGCGTTTCTGTAATGCATCGGTGATGATCTTTTTCTGTTGTTCGGTCAAGTTCAAATCTCTTTCGCCTAAGTGGTTGAATAGAATCACCAAGTCGGAGACACTACTCGCCGCAACATCATCACGCGTCAGCTCTTCAACGACTTTATCGTACTCTGCGCCTGTAAAAAGGTTCATTAAAAACTTCGGAAGGTTGTCGCTGTCAGCCATCGCACACTATTTGATTTTCAAAGTTTCAATCTTCTTAGACAGAAGAGAGAGAATACAATTCAATCACAAGAATAAAGTCATCAAAGCATTTTTCTTTTCTATTTTGGTTCTATAACAACCAATCAATCGGGAAATTTTATTGTAAAACCAATCCTTTTTAATTTCTCACAATTATAAAGTCGAACTAGAATCTCGTTTTGTTGAAATGGTATTAAGTGTAGTTTATTTACTATATATTTTAGTTTATTAGAAACTGGAATTGGTTGTTTTGATATAGTTGCTTCCAAAAGATTTTTGTTGTGTTTTATAAATTAAAAATCCAAACTGAAATTAACTAAAATTTGTAGTGGTATTTAGTAATATTTATTATAATTTAATTATATAATAATAATTTCAATAATTATATTATATTATATTATTAATAAAATTAGTATTATTTGATTTCCGATAAAAATAATTAGTTTAAAGAACTTCGAAAGAAGTGTAAATTTACATGTAAAAATAAATTATTATTTTCAAGTAATTTATATCGGAATACAAATGACAGTATAATACATCAATTTATCTCACACTTTTCAAGCATCTTGTCGCACCCAAAGAAACAGTTTTTACCGAAGGTGAGTAGTGGGAGAGTTTTGCTGACCATTTTACCATTAATAGTACCGAGTTGAATATCTTCATCGAATAGTTTCGAGTTATTATAATTATACTTTCGAACTTTAATACTCGAAAATAGAGTACACCACTTAAAAGAATTTTTACCAATTGAAAGGAGTGTGCTTGGTACAATGACTTCTTCAAGACTGTAACAATATCCGAAGCACAAAAAACCGATTCTATTTGCTCTCTTTGGCAACACGATTCTTCGCAATGAGGAACATTCATAGAAACACCCGTCACAGATATTTGTGACACTCTCACTTATAGTCACTTCACTGAGTGACGTACATCCAAAAAAACAATAATCCCCTATAGTATTGAGACTACTTAATAATTCCAACTTTTGTAACTGTATTGTCCGACCAAAGCAGTGGTCTTGTAACACTTTTATTTGTTTTGGTATGACCACAGTATCATCGATATCAATTTTTGGATATTCAGTCAACGCCTTCCCATTAATTTGAAGGGCTTTCAGAGGAAGGACAAATGAGATCAGTTTTGTCTCTCCATAAAAAATGCGATCGTTGTAGACAAAGATGTCGCCTTTGATTTCAATGTCTAGCTTCTTCAAGTTAGAACACTCGGATAGATAGAAAAACCCAAAGTGCACAATTTTCGATGGAATTGTGAAGCTTTCCAATTTCTCACACTTTTTAAAGCAACTTGTCCCTATGTGAGTCAAATTGTGAGGAAGACTAATTTGCACTAACTCGCTACAGTCTTTGAAACAGTAATTGCCTAGAGAGCACACATTCGTCTGGAAGGCGATCTGTTGCAGAGGCAGCCCTTCAAAGCAGTTATGTGAAATTTTTGTGACAGTCGATGGTACAACGACTTTGTTACTTGTGAATTGAAATAAACACTCAAAAGGAATTTCATTCACTTTAAAACTGTTTGAAGGCACTGAAAGACTGAGAAGTACATTTTTGTTGACAAAACAGATTTTTGTGGAACACCTGAAAATGGTGTCTGAGTCTATTGCAAGCGAAGCAAGTGAAGTGCATTCTTCAAAGCAATTGTTGCCTATAGAAGTGACTGAAGAGGGAATACTAATGGTTTGAAGACAGTGGCATCCAGAGAAACAATGATCTCCAATGGCATTTACAGACTTTGGAATTGAAAGAAGTAAAAAAGTGTCCTGTGTCTTCTCTTTAAGTTTCTCTTCAAAACTGTCCATCACCCCCGCCTCGATTTTTTCAAAGTCTTCGTCGTAATCAAAAGTGTCAGAAAAACAATACTCATCGAGTTGGGTGACTTCATTTGGAATTTCGTTGCCAAAGGAAATTCGGTCTTTTTGCGTATATTTGATACTCTTATACTCAGCATTCTCAGACGCATTTGCTTTGAACTTTTTGTACTTCACTTGATACCAAAATATTCGTTTATAAATAGTGGAGTGTGTGAAAAGTTCATCTTCCTTTGAGTACACGTGGAGAGTCTCAATATGTGAGAAAAAAGGAAAGGTGTGTTTGTTCAGTCGAATAGGGTTGAAGTGGTACGTGTCGATTATTTCTCGAAACTTCTTGCACACCTGCACAAGAGAAACAAAGTCGCTGATAGTCACAAAGTACTTTGCAACAATCAAAAGACTATAGCTGTCAAGACAACTCATTTACTGTATGAGATGGGTAAATAAACATTTCCTTGTTTATAGAAACAATTTTTAATTAATTACAAACTAAAAATAAGTTACTATTTGGTTAGTTATCAAACCCCTAATCTATTTCTATTACAAAAAATTGTGTTTATAACAGCCTTTTTGAGGCTGTTTGTTTTCTAACTTGGTTAGTCACGATTTCGATTTTTAAATATAGGTATTTGCCAGTTGTTTTTTTATTTGAGACTTTCATATAGTTTTATTATTAATATAATATATTTTGAATGATACTATTCAACTACTTGTCAAAAATTATTTATAATATTTATTATAAGATTGATAATAAAATAATTATATATTTTTGACCAAAAGGATAAAATAACCTTTTAAATTACTTTTGGTGATCTATAAAAGTATTTTAATCATCATAAGATAAATTAATAGTATTTAGTAATAAATTGGAATTAAAATAAAAATGTGATTGTTGGGTAATGGTTAAGTTAATGTATTTTAAATTAAAAAAAGTTAGTTAAAAAAAACAACTTTTTATTGTCTTTGAGAGATTATTTCGATTTGTTATTGAATACAAGGCTGTTATTATATTGTTTTTAAATATATTTATATATCAAATTAGTTTATAAAACAATGTTTTTTTTTGTATAATAAAAATTATTAATAAAGTCAGTTCAGAAATATTATTAATCGATTATGATTGTTTTTTTTTTCTTTTTTACAACTCAATAATTACGTGCAAAAACAAAAAATAATAAATCAGATTGTCAACAATTCATTCCAAAAACAATAGAAGCGATATTTTTTACATCAACAAACATAACGATTTATTTGGTACTCAACGTTAACAAAAAAAATGTTGATATATTAAAAAACATGTTAACAAACACGCATTAAACGATCAAATATAAATTTGAATCAAACAACTAAAACTGAAAATATAAAACAACAAAAAGTAAACAAAAAAGATGTGTCGTGAGAGTCGCGGAATAAGAGTTATGAAGTTTTAAACATTTAGTTTATCAATTCATCAATTTTTGAAAAGACTTTTAACTTTCGTTTTAGTTTGTTAATAATAATTTCCCGTGATTTTGTTCAATTTATTACCAAATCAACTGTATTTATTCCCTTTTAGATGTTCGAAAATGATTGGTCTAACCTTATTTATGTATTGGTTGTGTTATTGGTTATTTAGTTTTCAAATAATTATATTAATTATATTATATTTGGGCTTATCTCTTCCCGTAAGTTGGGAACATTTTCATCTAAAACGACTGTATAAAAATTAATAACGTTTCTAGACTTTATTAAAAAGTATTATTCATATATCATTAAAAACCAATTAAAAAACTATATTATTAAATAATGAAAATAATTAACAAAAACAATAGTTTTTTTTTGATAAATAATGATTAAATATGGTTTGAATTATAGTATGATTTCTTAATTTTAGGTGGTTAAAGAGTGTTAACGTGATACTAAAATGATAAAATTATTTATTCCATAACTATTTTTTAGAATTAAACTATTATAAATGAAACATTCTTTTAAAAAAATATATTAATTGTTAATGGTATTATAATAATAATTATTATTATAATTTCAATAAAAAGATAAAAATTGAAATAATAAAAAATAACCATATCAATGGTTTAATTATATTTATTTTTGATAATAAATTATTAGAAATTAGTTATTCATCTTTAAATAAGTAAACAAAACAAAAGAGGAAATATAACGGAATAAATAAAAACACTATTTTATGTAATTTTTCTTAAAACCAACTCATGATATTCAAACTCTCTCCGATAAACAAGAAGAATAATTCAATAATTCCAATCATCAAATGAATTTATAAATCAGAATGAGTTTCGAGAATAGTACGTCATCGTCTTACTACTCCCGGTCTCAACGGAGTCACCGCAGTCATAATCAATTAACAACGACATCTTCCCGATCACCCAGTCGTGAACGAGCATCTGGGATGAGTGAGAGTGACAGTCAGTTTTTAGCCGATGACGTTGCTCGTTTGAATCAAAAATTACGAGGGATGTCTGTCCGTCAACCGACGACTGTATCTACAAAGATAAAAGTGATTCGAGAGTCCCTTCCTGCTTTCGAGCATCGTGAAGAGATCATCCAAAGTGTTCGACAGAATCAAGTTGTAATTATCTCAGGGGACACGGGGTGTGGGAAGTCCACACAAGTCCCTCAATTCATCTTTGAAGATGCTCTCGCCAACAATGAATATGTTAAAATTGCTTGCACGCAGCCTCGTAGAATAGCAGCGACAAGTTTAGCTGAACGAGTTTCAGAGGAAGTTGGGTGTTCGATCGGGACTGCGGTAGGGTATCAAATAGGGTTAGAGAAGATGGCGGACAAAGAAACAAATGTTCTCTACTTGACACCTGGGGTGTTACAAAACCAGTTAATGCGTCGTGATGGGCGCACGATGTACACGCATATAATAATAGATGAAGCACATGAGCGGGACATCGACACCGAGTTTTGTTTAATGTTAATACGGAAATTTGTGAGTAAAACTACGGTGCGACTGATTATTATGTCTGCGATGATGGACGTCGACTTGTTTCGCCTTCACTTCATGTTAGAGTCTGATCAGAACGTCCACTCCCCCATGCAATTTGTCTTATCCGATTTTAAAGACCAAGAAGAGCTGAAGATGTCCAACCCTGAAACATTGACGAAGCCACCCTTATTAAACATTGGAGGGAAAAGATACCCCGTCGACGAGTTTTACTTAGAAGACGTGTTAGAGAAGTGTGGGAAAACATTTGACTCTGCATATCCATTTGATCAAGAGCAATATGTTTTTAATACACTATACCCTGAATTGGATAAACGAACACTGGCACTTGGTGTTGAGTTGATTGCATTACTTGTCAAGTCCCAAGACCCAATCTGCATTTTAGTCTTCTTGCCAGGGATGGCGGAGATCGAGGAGATGCGCGCGCAGATCGAAAGTGAGCAACACATCACGCAGTCGAATTGTGTCATCAAAATGTTACACTCGACGATAAGTATGGTCGAGCAGAAGTCGATCTTCATCGAAGCGGATTATCACAGGATCATCTTATCGTCGAATATCGCGGAAAGCTCTATTACGGTGCCTGGCGTGAAAGTGGTGATCAACTTTGGGATGGAAAAAGTGATGCAATTTGATCCATTGATGAACATCGAAGCGTTGAAATTGTCGTGGATCTCAGGAGCAAGTGAGACGCAGCGAGTTGGTCGAGCCGGGAGAGTTTCTTCTGGTCAATGTTTCCATATGTATCCCCGTGAGTTTGCTCGTCATTTAGCACGATACTCGACACCGGAGATTCAGAGGACTTCATTAGAAACAATTATGTTGAAAGTCCTTGAAATGGGGGAAGGAAGAGACATCTTAGATTATGGGGTACAACCCCCTGCAACACGAAACATCGAAAGGTCTGTGGACAATTTATTGGTTGGAGGGTTTTGTGTGAAGTCTGCTGCGAATGACTCGAAAATAGTGATTGCGCCATTGGGGAAGTTTGCAGTGAAGTTGCCATTAGACTACCGGTTGTCGAAATTGGTCTTCTTTGGACTCTATTTTGGGATCTTCACGGAGTGCGCAAAGGCCGCCGCGTTATTTGGAACAGCAGATTGGTCGAGGAGAGACACGGCAGAGGCTCTTCATCGGAAAATGAATGTCGACAAGTTATATAGTGATGTCGTTGGAGCCCTCATTTTGAGTGATTCTAATAGACGAGAAGTGACTAATACTGTGACCGAACTTATTAGAAGAATTTTCATCGACCCCCGTGATAAAAAGTTGTATGATAAATACCCAATTAAATCACTTGATGGGGAGTATCGCATGCACTTAGCACTCTTTGCGGCATTTTACCCAAGTTATTTCACGACAGAGTCTGCCGATGACAGACTCTCCGAAGCAATTCAATGTGTTTGTGCGTCGAGTGATAAGATGGGGCAATGCAAAATGGACCCCTGGTACACAATTGCGTTCAGAAATGTACCGGATGAGATGCCGGACGAACAATTTGGGATTCAATTGCAGAAGTACTTTGAACGGATCTTTGGGAAGAGAAGTGTCATTCAAAATATCAGAAGAACAGACCGGTTTAGATTAGTCGAGTTTATTAAAAATAGAGACGACACATCTTCAAAGCAGTTGCACCCTTGGGGCACTGAAATGAGGTACGTTTACATGGCTTTGGAGTGGTTATCACAAACTTCGTTTTATGTTCGAGCAACGGCTCAAAGTGTGTCAGTTCGAACATATTCCTCACACACCTTTGGAGCTTCATTAGTCAATTATTTCACACACGCGCCAGCAAAGATAGAAGGAGGGAGTAGCTTAGCTCCACTGATGATGAAGAAGTCTTTGAAGAACATCTCCAATGACAGTGGCGAGCAAATGTTTTCAGTGGAGAATCCGGACTATGCTGTTGTGTGTGGAATCATTGGGGAGAGTAACTCTGGGAATACGATGTGTCGAAAGATCAATGTGTTTCCGACGAAATTTGGCAGTAAACACCTTCCCTTGTTAGCAATGTTGTTTACACCGACCCCTGTCCTTCCTTTGTATAACAAAGCACAAACAAAACTGAGAGGAATTCTTTTTGCACATTTACAACGAAGTGTTGTTGTTAAGACTTATATCGACGAGACAACACTAATTGGGATTAATAAAGTGCGAGAGGACATTAAGAGGTTTATGACACAATTTGAAATGCGAAAGGACTATGCAAGACCAACAGAGGCGATTCGGACGATCAATGGAATATTGGAGATGACGAGAGAAAAGATGGCGGGAAGGGAAATCCCCGTCTCAGACAGTAATTTGGACTTCATCAAGAAACTCCAAATCTCAAAGTACTTGTTTGGTCCACATTTGTTCTCGCAGATGAACACGTTGAAGATCCCAGAAGACTTGGAGTTGTCTGAAGATGACGAGGTGGAAGACGCTTCAAATCGAATCGACCAATTTTTGTACTTAGAGAAGTTGGCGAAAGGATGGTACCCCGAGAAGGAAATCATTTGTGCTGTGTGTAAAAAGGTCATTTGTCATTTAAAAAATGTGAAACGGCCGGAGGGCTACATGCAAAGAAATGTCATTGGAGTCATGACTTGTGTCTTTGGATTACTGAAACCGGGTGTAGATCCACGAATAGGATGTTGCATGAATGGACATCAGTGTTGTTTAACAACAAACAAGAATTATATACTCACACCAGACTCTTCTGTTAAAGTTATTAACTGCGACGGTGTAGAACTCGAATGGAGCCAAAAGGTATATGACAACTTCTTCGCGGGGATCGGAGGGACTTCAACAGAACCCCCACCCATTCCTCCTGGTGACAGAAATATCGATTACGCCTGCCCTTTCTGTCAAACAACACTTTCTTCAAAAGAAGAATTCTTGAAACACACGTTACTCAACGCTCACAGAACTAATGAACAACATTACAGACAAGTCTACACTCAGAGATACTTGGAAAAGAAGAAAAAATGATTGTTGTGATAATTGATACTTGTAATGACGTGGCGTTTTATTTTTAACACAAATTTCTAGTATAATATAATCTAATACATTTTACTATTTATTATAATACACCAATTTGTTCACACAAGTCCTTGAATAGTCTAATTCATAGTATTTTAATTATATAATAAAACTATACTTTTTTACTATTCTATTTATATATCTAATTATATTAATTTAAAAATAATAAATATATTAAATATTTAAGTATAAAATATACTATAAAACGAAAAAGTTGATTACCACTCTGTTTGGTCCAACCACACGCATGGAGACTCTTCAAAAGGCTCGCTTTGTTCCTTTTTACACCACGTGTCTTTTGGACATTGTCTGAATCCAGTAAACTCAGAAGAGCATTGGAAGTATTTGTCGTTGTGTTTCCCATCTATCAAACAGAAAAACCCGTCCTTTTTGCATTCAACTGTCCTATCCACTCCAACACAAGGATTTTCAGTGAAATTCATATAACTCTTCCCGCTGCATTTAGTACCTTCAGAGCAATACATATACCCTTTGTAACTCTCAGAACAGACCAAATATTGACTGTCATGTTTACCGTCGTTGATACACATAAACCCTTCATTCTTGCAAAGGTCTTTTGGGTCAATTATGTCTTTGGGTTCCACTTCGAGAACACAAGGAGATTGGTTGTCGGGTGCTTTACCGTCATACCCACAATATGTTCCTTTGGGACACTTCATGTATCCTTTATAACTGTCACTACACCACAGATACTGGTATACATAATCAACATCATCAAGACAATAATACCCCGACTTATCTTTGCAAATATCTTCTTCAGATGGCGTGTCTACAGATGGCGTGTCTGGCTCTTTGGACTTTTCAGACGATTTTGAAGTACTCTTCTCTTCCGATTTCTGTTTTGAACTCTCATCTAATACACATGGAGACATGTTCTCGGGGACTTGTCCTTTAAATCCACAATGTGTTCCTTTAGGACATTTCATATATCCTTTGTATGTATCTTCACACAAGAGAAATTCAGTTGTGTGTTCACCATCATTCACACAGTAATACCCTTTCATGTTCAAACAAAGGTTCTGTCCTTCTTTGGCTTTTGAAGGAGTTGTACATGGGTTGAAACCCAATGCAACTCTTTCTTTCGAAGTGCATTTCTTCCCAAGAACACATGGCTTATACCCTTGAAACACTTCCGAGCATTCGTAGTATTGTGTGTCGTGTTTTCCATCGTTCACACAGTAAAGCCCCTCTTGTTCACACTTGAATTCGTTTTCTGCGCAAACAAAAGATACCAGTAACAGTAGTATCAACATCAAATATCTTTCGAAGACTTATTTTAACTCCGTTAAATACTGTGGTATCTCCGAGAAAGTGAAATGAATTACATCTCCAGTTTGAACTATATTTTATAATAATTATAATAATTATAATTAATATTATAATTTATTAGTATTAAAATATTAATAACTAACTAAAAACGTGTTTTAAATAGAATGAATAAACTCTATAAAGAATCAAACAGGTTCTGCAATTGTTTGGAAGATACTTCTATCGATGTTCTATTAGTCAAATCATGACTCCACATCCCAGAGACTATGTTATAAGCCTCTTTATTCATCCCTTCTTGATAAGCTCTTCTTTTTCCACTCGACACAAAGTCTGCTACACTCCACGCAAATTTGAAGTCTTTTTTGGGGTATGCTTCACCCCATATTAATGTTTCGTAGAACGCGACCCCCAAAGAATACACATCGGACGACATCTTATAGTGTTGCTTGTTAAGAATCTCAGGAGCCATATATTTTGGTGTGCCGACGCCCTTAGTGAAAGTCATGTTCGTCATCAACATGTTGACATTTCTTGATGACCCAAAGTCGGTCAACTTTCCATTAGCCTTGATATTGTCTTCCATAGTTATAACCAAGATATTGTCTGGTTTAATGTCTCTGTGTAAGATGCCATTTT